CTGTGTTGTCTTAAAAACCATCCTCTTGTGAGTTAACACGTGGGCTATGAACCATGACATTTCCAGTTTGAATCATCATTTTATTCCATCTCTCTCACCTGTCCGCACTCATTATTAACAATAGCTGCAAAAGATCTGCAGCAGATTCATTATTTCAGGTTCCCGACAAAGCGAATGTGAGCGAGGGAATTGTTTAAAGTCTATTTAGCACCACATTCCCTCTTTTGCATCTCGGCAAGGTAAAAGAGGTAATTTGGTACTGAAAGTATTTAACCTTGGATTTAGTTTCTCTAAGTTGCCCAATTAATCGCTTCAGATTAGCTTTGAAAGCATTTTTTCACAGCACAAAGACAACTGGGGATTTTGTCTCCGCAGTACTTAGATTGCATCTGATTGAAAGAGGCATGTCTTTGCAGCTGCTATGGACCGCAGGACAACTGCCAAAACCAAAAACTTTTTTTTTCTTAAATTGGACAAGCAGACAAGCATAAGCAGGCGGATGTTTTTAAGACAGACTGGAACAATGTCGACTTGTACTTTAGTATAAAGTTGCAGCAGAGCCAACAGTTACATTTAAGTCATGCATTATTTCCTGCACTGTAGGTGATTTTGCTTACATTGCTGGCAGACTCACCAGCAATGAAAAAACAATGACAAGAAGAGACCACAGCAGAAGGTAAATGCGGCTATTAACAGAAATAAATACATATTAAAAATCAAAAGGATTATAACTGTTAGTCAGTGAGGTCCGTGTTTGCCAAGTCTGTGCAACACCACTGGTTCTCCTTTGAGTCAAGCAGCCAGTAAACCTCAAGTCTGGCAGATTTCCAACCTGTTGTCAAATATGTCAGTACAAGCAGATGTCTGGATGCTCCCCAGGTCTCCAGATCTGTTCATTTAACCAGACTGCACAGCTTAAGACTCAGGGTGAAGGCAACTATGCCTCACAGGTTCTCTGACACCTACAATAAACAAATAATTTGAAGTTTTGTGAAAATTGCTGTTGCTATGAAAACTTCGGTTAAAAAAAAATCCTGCAACTGATGCATTTAAGTCTGTTTCAAATCCTGTTCTTTACTAGCGAAGCTACTAATGTTCTGCATTAATCTTCACACTGCTTCCATGCTCCTGTTTTCTTCAATTGCACCTCTGACTTTGTTTTCATGTTGCTTTGGTGCTTTTCTTTGGCTTTAACACTTCGTTCTCTGTGAAACCTCATGCCTGGTGTGTTTCATGCTACCTTCTTACAACTCACACTCCTACCTCTTTTCCCCTTCCTCCATCCATCTCAGTTTGAACACTGTATTCTTTGAAAAATCCAATGCGATCATTTTTTCTGGCTTGGGTTTCTTTTTTAACTATAGCACCCTGTCATACAGTCATGACTGCTTCACCCGTCCTTTTTTTCTTCCTACCAATGCTTCTTTTGTATTCGCTTCTTTTGATTTCTTCTTTATTCGTGTGTCACAGTCTTCAGTGCTTCTTTTTCTTTACCTTCTTTTACTTTTAACCTGACCTCTCAATCCTCCTGCGTTTCCCCGTTTTCAGCATCAGTTCAAATTGCTGTCTCAAATTCATTCTCACCACAGAACGAGCACCATTTTCGGTCGCCGTCTCGAGGCTGTTTCTGTAGCACGATCTTAGCGCGTTCTTCTCCTCCTCTCCAACTCCGCCTTGTGCAATCGGCCCCACTGTGTGAATCACATCTGCAGAGATGGGAAGAAAGAATTCTTTACACAGTGTCAAAGGTATGAAGCTACTGTGAAATAAAGGTAACAGGACAACTGCAAATAAAATACAGTTAAAATTTATAGTTTTTATCAGGGAACTATTTTAAATATTATTAATAAACTCTACTGTTGACATTAAAGTCCTTATAAAACATGTTTTATATCCCCTGAAAAATGATGCTTACTGTAAACAGTGTTCCTGATCAGCTGAAAAGTAGTGCACTTTCTGTGCCAACTAGCACCAACACTATAATCTTTAGATCTATCCATGTTGATAGTATGATAAAACGTGCCCATCATCAGAAGAGTGGATGACCAGAACTGCTGGTGCACACCAAGAGGCCAACTGTGGATACATTTGTGGTTTGATATTCTGTTTAGCATAGAGGTGCAATTTTGGAAATTGCCATCCATTTTTTTCCGGATAAAATAAACCGTGAACATCCTACATGAAGCGATGAGTGGGCTTCGAGGGCTTGAAGAAGATTACCAGCCTTCCAGGTGATGCAGGTTAGCCGTGCTCCAAATGAATATTGAATGTTTCTTTGTGTTCATGTACAGGAACATGGCAGTAACACCATAAGTCTAATTGACGCAGCTAAATGGAACACCTCTTGTATTTTAGCCATTGCTTCTGGACTCCAAACAGCTTCTATTTAAGTGCTCTAAGCAAATCCAAAAGCTTGTAACTATAGAGCAACATGTCAGGCAACCGGCTGGATGCATTAAGCTTTCAAAAAACCACCTTCTCTGTCAGCTCACACAGTGTACTGATCGCACTTCAAGCAAGTGTAAACTCAGATGCCTTCAGTCTATATAATCCAGCTCGTCTGTACATGATAGTCATCAAAATTTGCTTTAACACACATTTAAAATACATCAACTAAAAATCAGTGTCAAGTTGCATTTGAGCTGATAGCAAAAAAGCATAAAACATTTTATACGGATATATTTTTTGTCACCAAACTGTACACTTCTTTTTTCTTTCCTTGCCCCACTGTTATTGATTGTGCTGTCTCTGATGGCACATTAGCCATTAAAGTTTGACAACATGTCGGCCTTTTGTTTACATTTTTTACCTCTACTTGACCCAAGTCTTTTATTTTTATTTCTATTTTCTACATAGAAAATCAGCAGGGAATTCATGTTTTGTGGAGGATCGTTAAAAAAAGAAAAAACTCCCACTCTTGGCATACTCATTTAACCAAAGACCAATTAAATAGTTTTACCCAGGAAAGTATACATTATACAAGGTTATCTGTATTGCAGCTGCGCCTTCTTTCCCCTCCTCCTGAGTCCCGAACATGAAGTTGGAAATGAGGCAGAATGTAAACATGCCATTAATAAATTGCACTTCCTGGTTTCTTTGTAAGTTGCACCTTGCTGGTACCAAGTTTTTTCTTCAGACCTGCCATAATTCTTTGTGGTATGAATTCAACGAGGTGCTAGAAACTCAACTGACATGAATTATGTGAATCTTCTGTTCCAACATATCCCAAAGGTGCTCTGCTGGATTCATATCTGGTGACTGTGGAGGGCATTTCAGTGCAGTGAACTCACTGTCACGTTCAAGAAACCAGCTTGAGATGATTTGAACTTTTTGAACTATCAGAAGATTGTGCATTGCAGTCATAAAGGGATCGACATGATCAGCAGCAGTACTCGGGCAGGCTTTCACGTTGTTTTAGCCAAATTCTAACCCTACCGTCCACCTGCTGATGCAGAAATCAATAAACCTCATGACAAATAAGGTTATTCCAATCTTTTGTTGTCTAATTTTGGTGAGCCTGAATTGTAGCCTCAGTTTTTTGTTCTCAGCTGACAGGAGTGGCACTCGGTGTGGTCTTCTGCTGCTGTAGCCCATCTGCTTCAAGTTACGATGCTTTTAGCATTCAGAGATGCTCTTCTGCAAACCTTGGTTGCAACTAGTGGTTATTTGAGAATGCATTCTCCTCTGACCTCTAGTATCAATATGGCTTTTTCACCAAAGTAACTGCAGCTCACTGGATATTTTCTCTATTCAAACCCTTCCATTTGAACATTCGAGATGGTTGTGTGGGAAAATCCCAGCAGATCAACTTTTTCTAAAGTATTCAGACCAGCTTCAATCACCTTGCTCCCTGTTTCTGATCTTCAGCAGGTTGTTTTCACCGTGTCTACATGTCTAAATGCACCGAGTTGCTGCCACGCAATGATAAGATAAGGCTGATAAGATATTCGCATTAACAAGCAGTTGAATCTGCGTACCCAACAAAGTGGCTGGTGAGTGTCTATTTAAGGTGATCCAGTGTTGCTATGATATGTAGAAACGGCACTTTAAATCAGTAAAATAAGCCGATTTTAAACTAGGTTTTCTCAATATTTCTGGACTTTTTTCCCCTCACTTTGATTTCTGTGATGATTAATGAGGCTCTGAACTGTGAGATCACAAAATGCATTTTTACTATTTCAATCTAAATTTCCAGGGGGTTTAACATTTGATTTTAACTACAGAGCTGGAAAGCTTTGAATCTACTGCTGTCACTGGTTTTGATGCCGCAAGCAAATCATTTTTTCTGGGTGTTTGTCACAGCCTATGGTGTCGTACGAAAACAGTTTTTAGTACTACCATTATTTACCAAACCGAAAACGGTACAAAGCACTTTTTTTACATTGCCCTCTCAGCGAGTCCACAGCAACACCATCTTTCACTGTTCCCAATTTGTTTTGTGTGAAATATTTTTTCATGCTTTTCAGTCATGTAGCCGTAGCTCGACTAATTGATACCGTGTACTGTCTCTGTCAAGTTAATTGCTGCAGTTTTACTCTATGGTCTCAGAAAAAATATTTAAATTTGTGTATTTGATTAAATAAAGGCTAAATAAACTGAAGCGTACTGACGTGAAGGTTGAGGAAAGACAGGAGAGGCAGAGAAAACAGGAATACTAGTAAACAGAAACCAAGTGAGGAACAGAGACGGCTGTCGGTGAGCTGCGGTTTAACCGGCCTCTACACGCCCACGCCGACACCACCACACATTCTGATGAGGCTCAGCATGTTGCTCAGCTTGAATCCCAGCGGTGTCATAAGACCTGGCTGGACCACCGCCTCTACACGAGAACACACACAAACTGAAAAGAATCTCAACAATACAAGGCTTTTTTTCTTCCATCTAGTACCACGAGACACCTTTTTTTTCTTAACAGGCTCCCATGAGGTGAAATAATCTCTGATTTTTTCCACCTCAGATCAGTTTTGACACTTGAGTCTTGAATAAAGTGTGGACTGATCTGCAGATTTCACTCACACCAGACAGCTCAATCACAGCCTCAAACATGTTCACTGTTCATTAAAAGGGGCCCTGTTTTTTTATTATTATTATTTATTTTTTACATCCATCTAGGACAAGTTATTTGTCACATGCCCTCACTAACAATGTGATATAATATAAAGGTCTGCTTGTCTATTTGCAATCTGGCTGTGCTGGGTGGCTTGATACTGAAATATTGACGTTTCCAAATCCCGAGATTCCTGTCTTAGAATCAATTCTAATTTTTTTAAAAAAAAAACAACCATATCTAAACTCAGTAATTGGACATAAATGTGTATTCAGCTGTGTGCTGGGGAAGAAATTCAGCCCTCTACTCATCCAGTGGGACCAGCCTGTGGGGGCGGAGGTGGGTGCTGGGGTCAGTGGAGGGTGAGGGGTGATTACATATTGTTCATGATGTACAGTAGTCTGGTCACAGAGAGGGCTGATAAAAAGCAACAATTATCACTGACTGCAGCAAAGCAATCTGTGTCTATCCAGGCTACAGTTTTATGAGTTAATGTTCCCGTCATTATTAACCCTTTAATTAAAAAATTTCAACCCTATAGCAATATTGGGGGATATTACAAGATTGTTTTATTTGGTTGCATTTTATGTGTTGCGAATCAGGGTCAATTTATTTTCAATATATGATGTAGGGTAAAAAATTCTTTTTTAAAAGAACTGAATTGAATTGATTGTCCTCTCCAGAGTAAAGGTGCGTGTACCAAATATTGACTTTCAAATTCATAGAAATGTTATTACCTTTACTTTCTGTCTTTTCATGTTTTAAGTGTGTTGCAAACATTTCGAGAAATCACTATATTTAGTTTTCCAAGCAAAATATAAAAGAAGTGAAGGGTGCCTAATAATTTTGTATAGTACTGTATATATATTCATTA